CCCCTTCTTCCCTCCTCTGTTAGTTTACTTTCTTAATGTTTCTGCATTAGGAAATTCCTGTCTCGAGTCCAACATGGCTCTCCCAAGACGTGAGATAGGAGCATTGGCAGTGCCCGAGAGGAGGAGACCCGCTTCACTTGGCAGGGGGCAGGGAGCATCTCTGTATGATGATATTTTTACTTGGCTCTGGTACTCTGAATTTTGCTGCCCCAAGGCTATGAGGGATAGATGCCTGGTACGAGCTGACCTGTTTCTGTTACTCATAAGGCAAAGTGAGAAGCAGAGCAGTGAGAATCTGGGCTTGCTGCTCCTTTGCTGCTGGAGGGGATGGTACAATGCCTCTGTGCTTGGCCCCTTCCCCTGGCAGCAACAGGAGTGGCTGAGCATTGCAAGGCTTGTGCAGATGTAGAATAGGTAGCGGGACAGTGACACAGCTGCTGTGCTGTGTCAGAGGCCCGCTCCAGCGCTCTTTTATCTTTATTGCAAATCTGGAGTCTGCTCAGGACCAACGAGGGTAATTTAATGAAGCTGGAGGACTTGTTATAAATGAACGCGCTGAATGGACAAGAATGGTGCGCTGTTGTACATGACTGTGAAGGTCACTACAATAGGATGCTCATTTTTCAGTTCCTGCATGCTGCTGGGCGAAACGGAGGTTTGTGCTGACACACGCAGTTCCTGTTAATGGGGACTGGAGTTGTACTGAAAGGAGAAAATGTCCCGTTTTGAAGGCTGCTTGGCAGCAAGACAACTGGAAAGACATGTGGTATTGGTACCAATCTTTTCAGACTTCGGCACTTCTTTTCATTGCCTGACTTTTTATTCTGAGGCCTTCTTACTGTGACTCCTGCTCTTCTGTTATGAGAAGCGAAATTAATAATCTCCCTTATTTCCCATACATGGGAAGGAATGTCTTTATTCTGGCCCAAGTTGAACTGCAGATGAGATCTGTTTTGGGAACTGTGTTATGCAAAAGCAGGGGGAGAGGAAAAGGAAACAAACAGTTGTGTAGCCTACTCTCTTTGAAATGCTGTTTTAATGGTTCCCTGGTATTCATATAATTATTTAACTGGCTATGCGATCCTTGGGATTATTACTCTTTCCAAGTAATAACTAGAGCAGTAAAGATGTCTTGTTAAAGTGGAAAAAATGAATTGGCATATGTTGTTTTCAGTATTGCATTTTAGTAATTGTTTACAATGACCTTTTGGAATCTCAGAGAGAAAATTTGTTTGCTTGACTTTCTCCCAGATCAGCTCCTGGCTATCTTGATATAGAGCAGAATTGAGTTGTTTTGGTTTTTTAATTACATTCTGACAGCAAAGCCTATTCTTCTGTGTGCATTACAGTTCTGGCTTTTGCAAATGTTAAGCTGTCTTTAGCAGGA